TCTCTCTCTCTCTCTCTCTCTCTCTCTCTCTCTCTCTCTCTCTCTCTCTCTCTCTCTCTCTAGATCGTTACCCTGGATGCACCCACTCGGGTAAGCTCCACCTTGGTGGCTATGCCTGCCCACCCTAGATCGGTACACTACAGCCTACCCTACGGGACAGCCCTGGGACCGGGACTGGGTGTCCGCAGCGTAAATCTTTTCATTATCTGAATTATCAAGATTTATCTTTAATTTTCCCTCCCTCCTCCCCGCCCCACCCTTTTCTTTTTTCGGAAAGAAAATCGTTCATTGCAGGGCCCCGATGCCCAAGGCAAGTCCGCAACTAAGACATGGACAGTCGGGTGAACCTGCCCTACCGAGCGCTCAGATCCCAATCCCTACCAAGAGGAGAAGCTATCTAGTATCAAGTTACTATCAACATTTATCTTGAATTAGTATGACCTTCGCCTTTTATGTTGTACTCAACAATATGTACTGAAGTTGACTGAAGTTGACTAAACCATTCGTAATTTGCATATGCTTCTATTCTTGACGGTAATGGCTGTTGGATGAGCAACGTCGGTATAACCATGTGGTTTTCAACAAAGGTGAAAATTATCGTATCATCTACGTACATTTGCCTGCAGCTTGGAAGGACGACGCAACCAGATAGAAAAGTTATCCAAAGAAAATGGTCCCAACTTTCCCAAGTTTGGAAAAAAGAAGTATGTTTTTGACTGTACTTTTAGTAACTGTTTTGCTGTTTCCATTTTGTTGAAAATTATCGTATCATCTACGTACATTTGCCTGCAGCTTGGAAGGATGACGCAACCAGATAGAAAAATTATCCAAAGAAAATGGTCCCAACTTTTCCTAGTTTGGAAAAAAAAAGTATGTTTTTTTAACTTTTTTACTGTACTTTTAGTAACTGTTTTGCTGTTCCATTTGCTTATTCTTGACAGTGATGGCTATTTACTATTTAGTATTTACTTAGCAACTTTGGTGGTACCATCTAATTTTCAGCAAGGTGAAAATTAATAATTTTTGTATCATCTATCATCTATGTAAGTGTGCCCCCAGCTCCTTGGAAGGCTGCCGTGTGTAACTAGAAAAATGGTCCAAGTAACCAGTCTTGAAAAAAAAAAAAAAAAAAAAAAAAAAGGAGTACGTTTTTTATTTTTTTAGTAGATTTTAGTAAATTTTAGTGAATTTTTATTATTTTTTTGGTAATTACTAATTTTACTAATTTTTTAGTAACTGTTTAGGTGTAATCAGAAGCTACTGAGGCCATCAAAGTCTTTTGTTTTGTGTTGCAATGTTCCTTCACAGGCTGACTCAGTTTATGGAAGGCTTTGGTATCATCACAATGAAGCTCAAGGAGATGTACCAGGTAAGTTTTCTCCGACATCTTTTGGATTCTTTGAATTCTTTCCTCTTTTTTTCTTTTAGTGGTGCCCATTCTGCTAATATGCCAATTGAATTTTCCTGCAACCTTCTGATCTCCTTGTATTTCTCTATTCTTCTTTAATTTTGTGATGTTTCTCCCCTTTGTCCTTCTCGAGATCCGTTAAAATAGGAACAAAAGTTACAATACAGAGAAGATTAGCATCACCCCTGTGCAAGGATGATATGCACAACTCAAGAAAAACAAAATGGTTCATTGATCGTCAAGGTTCGCTTAAGCAACCCCTGGTGGTGGTGGTGGTGGTGGTTGCAGCGATACTGACGTGCAAATCATTCGTCGGAATTGGGTATAGGGCCGAAAGCCACAAAAGACTAATCAAACCGACGAGTGGCTGGTTCCCTACGAAGTTTCCCTGAGGATAGCTGGAGCTGTGGAACAGTTTTATTTTATTTTAAAAAAGGAAGAAACCAAATGGTTCTGGAAGGTCTCTGGTACAGCATTGGAGCATCGAAGGGAGTTATGGAAGGCGTTGGTGCTGCTGAGACAGGAGAGCGGAGGCCCTGGTGGTCTGCAGAGTAGTGAGGCTGGGCGCTGTGAAATTGAGCTGTGCGCTAGCCAGGTACGGAGGTTGAGTTGGAGGGAGGAGGAAAACTCCAGAGACTTGATGAATCTGGTGTCTGAGTTTGTGCAAGGTGGTTTAGTCGCGGTAGTGATCCTTGGTTTCTTTTGTGGTCCTGAATCCTGATTGAGCTGGAGAGTGGCTAGGGACTTTGATTCTGCTCAAATCTTCTCGGCTATGGGACTTCCGGGGTGCGTATCTCTGTTTGGTGTGTAAAATCCCTCTCCAAATCTGCTTTCTTATCTCTACGTATTAATGGGAAGATGGTCATGCTTTGCTGGACTGCTTTCTCAATCAGTCACATAGCACATTAGGTCTTTTTGAGTTCTGTGGTCTCATTAACTTTCTCAATCAGAAGTGCACCCCAACCAGTCGGCAGGGTCTTGCCCATGCTGCAGCATTGCTGCTGAAGGTGGCAGATGCAGATGCAGGAGGTATCTACAGTGGCTTAAGGTAACTTTGAATTCAAACTGGGTCATTTTTGTGTGGTGACTGTGGACTGTTGCTTTGTAGATGATCACACTTGGAGGTGATGCGGAGCTTGAACTGGTGGACTCTTTGGATCCATTCACTGAGGGGATCGTTTTCAGTGTTCGGCCGCCGAAAAAGAGCTGGAAGAATATCTGCAATCTATCAGGAGGAGAAAAGGTACAGAGCCAAATTTGAATCCAGATACAATCAGATGACCATTTACCAGACTACAATCACTTTGAATTACCTGGGGCCGATCAGTTCAATGATGATTTCTCAAGGCCGCGACGGGCAAGTGTGTGTGTGTGTGTGTGTGATCTTCTAGGCTAGACAGCGGGTGAAAGAACCTTTTTTTTTGTGTGTGTGAGAGAGAGAGAGAGACAGAGACAGAGAG